GCTGAGAGGTCTGGGTTCAAAGCACAGGGTAGTGGAAGCAGTCCCAGGGACTTCGGATTGAAGGACAGGGTCTCTGGGTGAGTGCTGAAAGGGGGGAGGGGGCTTCTGGTGGTTCAGGAGGGCTGTCAGAGCTTGGGATGGGTGGACGGGGTTTCTGGAATCAGAAGAGAGTGTCTCTGGGTCTTTGATGGTGACAGCTCTCAGAGGCTGGGGAGGGAGGTACAGCTTGGGGCCTCCAGGTGGGGGAGATGCCATAATCCAAAGGTCTCAGATCGGTCAGGCGTAGGTCTCAAAGCCCCAAGCTCGCGGGTGTCTCATACCCACGGCCTCGGGACAGGTCATCAGCTGGCAGGGGTAGCCCCCAAGTCCCAACAAGCGAAGCTCAGAGGCCCGAACCGGGGAAAGTGGCCCCAGAACCGGCGGGGGCGGCCGAGGCGGGCGCGCGGCGTGGGTCTGCGTCCTGCTCGTAGCGGTAATGGTAGCCCTCCATCTGGTCCCGGCACGCCTCGCGCAAGTTGCGCATCCAGCGCTGGATGCCACGGCGGTTTAGGTAGAGCACCATTAGGAAGATGAGGCCGATGAGCGCCAGAACCAGCCCGAAGAAGACGTAGGAGGCTTCCAGCTCCGGGCCGGCAAGTTCCACTTCTTCCCCGCGACCGTCGGCGTCGCCTTCGGCGCAGCGCAGCCCCGCCTCGTCCAGGTCCAGGAATGGCCGGTCGTACAGCGCCCGCGGGGAGGCGCAGCGCAGGCGCCGCGCGTCGGGTACGCGCTCCGTGGCGTTGCGCATCCAGGCCAGCAGGGGGCGCGCAGCGCAGCCGCAACGCAGGGGGTTGTCGGCGAGCAGCAGGCGCGGCGCGGGGAGGCCGCCATTGCGCTCGAGCGCGCGCAGCTCGTCGGGGCCCAGGCTGGCCAGCGCGTTGAGGCGCGCGTCCAGCTGCTCCAGGCGCGGCCGGCTCAGCGCGGCGGACGGCAGGCGGCTAAGAGCGTTGCCTGACAGGCCCAGGAGGCGCAGCTCGTCGAGCGGGGCGAGCGCGGCGTCCAGCGCGGCCAGCAGCGCGGGGCCGCCCCGCGCCAGCGCATGGTTGAGCTGCAGGGAGCGCAGCGCGGGCAGCCCGCGGAAGGCGTCGCCGCCCAGGGCGCGCAGCGGGTTGTGGCTCAGGTCGAGCGCCGCCAGGCTGGGCAGCCCGTCGAAGGCGCCGTCCTCCACCATCTCGATGTTGTTGTGCGTGAGGCGCAGAGCGGTCAGGAGCGGCAGGCGCCCGCCGCCCGCCGCCTCCGCCTCCTCCCCGTCCGCGTCCCCGCCGGCGAAGGCGGCCGCGCGCAGCACAGTCAGGTTGGCGCCCACGATGGTGAGGTTGCGCGCGTCGGGTGGCACGTCCCGCGGCGGCTGCCGGAGCTCGGCGCCCGAAGCGCAGCGCAACATCAGCTTAGGGCCGCCGAAGCAGTAGCACTGGAAGGGACAGGGCGCGGCGGGTCGGCTCAGCGCCACCGCCAGGAGCAGCAGCCCCGGCAGCAGCGGGCCCCTGTGCTCCGGCTGTCCCGCGCGCGGGGCCATCGCGGCTGCCCCCGCATCCAGCGCCCGGGCCGCCGCGCTCACCAGTGAGTTCGGAGCCCCGTGGGGGCGGGGAGGGGGGCGGGTGGGGCAAGTCCTCGATCGGGAGCGCCCGGCGGTTGTGGTCGGTCCTTCCGCTGGCTCTATAGTCCGAGGAGCCTTCACTTTCCTGGCTGGGGCGAGAGGGGTCAGGCGGGGAGCGGAGCCCCCCGCCCCCGGTGCCCTCTTCGCCCTGCGCACCGGCCTCCGACTTCTGCGGCCGTTCTGGGCTCGGAGCCGAGTGGGCAGGGTTTGCCTCCCCCCTCCCCGCCTCCCGGCCTCCTCCTCCGCCCCCGGCGGTGTCTCCGCGCCCTCCTTGCGGAGAGGCGGGGTGGGAGGCTCCCGAGAAGCAGGGCTTTCGGCTGCTGCTCTTTCTCTTACCCCATCTGGGCTCCCGGACTGCTGAGAAGTTTGGCTCTCCGAGGTTCTGACTTATTTCCCCCTCATCTCCCCCCTAGCCCCTGCTCTTAGGCTGGTACCTTCCCCCTCCCTCTCTGGGATGTGTGGGGTGGGGTGGGGCCGGGCTAGGGAGAGCAGGCAGGTGGGTCAGCATCACCGACCGAGAATTTGGGAGGAGGACTTCAGGGCTTCTCCTACCAGCGCAGGCAGGGGTGAGGGGTGGGCTGGGAAAGTTCCTCATTTTTCAGCCTCTACCTTATCCTTGTGATCAAGGAGAGGGCTGTGCTAGGAGTGAGGGAAATCCCCAGCCTCAGCCCCCTCCTCTGCCACCCCAGTTACGTCAGGCCTGGCTCGGTCAACAACCCTGCGAGTCCCGGGAGACCAACGTCTTCTCCACCCCACCCCGAGGAAGTCAGCAACATCCCCTCCTCCTTCCACCCCTCCTCCCCCCAAGTCACTGGCTGCTCTGCCGGGAGTTCTTCCATCTGATTTCCTCCACCAGGCTGGACTCTTCCCTCAAGCACTCTCCTAGGCCCGGGGACCCGGTGGGTGTGGTGATTCAGCTCTTTGCTGTCCCCTCCCTGCCCCAGCACCTTCGTACCCCCGCTAGGCTGTTCTGGGTCTCAGGACCTTAGGGTTGTTGGATACCATCAGCTGCCCCTCCTCCCCTCCAGGGTACCTCACCTGTAAATGTTGAATGGGTTAGGAGGGTTTGTGAGACCGGGAGCAGATTTTGCAGCAGGGAGTGGGGGTCTCAGAAGGGGCCAGGGCTGAGCTGTTTATAGGTTTGTTTTGTTCTGGATTTTTTTTTTTTTTTTCCAGAACTGGGAAGCTCTAGACCTGATTTAAAGGGACAGACTCCTGAGATGGGAGCACTCCTTGCCTTGGCATGAATTATTCAGGCTGGAGAGGCTGACACTTGATCCGAAGGCCCTTCTGGTATCAGCAGAGCTGGTTGGGATAGAGGCTCCCCCCCCAACCTAAGAGTCATTCTCTTTCACCTGAATTAGGGATTGTTGGGTTGACTCCTTCCCTGAGGTTATATTTAACTGATCAACCAACAGATCAACACCACTTAAGGAGAAGAGGTAGGAGAAGATGTAGACCCTGCAGTGGCCTGGGTCTCAGACAAGGGCCATTTTTAAGGCCCAGGGCTGTTGATGCTGGGGGTGGGGGGTGGCCTCCCCTTCCCCTTCCCCTTTCTCTCCCCTGTCCCCATTGTCACTCCCAAGTATTGGCAGATGAGAATAGTAACTTGCACAAGCATGTTGGCCATGTCCGTACAGATGTACACGTGCGATTGTACATGCACGTGTACACATAGAAGCAGGCTTAGCACATAAACAGACCTAGGTGTGTTCACACGTAAGCACACACACACTCATGCTCACTTGGGTGTGCATACACATGCATAGGAAGGCTTGCATAAGCTTGTGCACAGTTCCAGGCAGCCTCAGATGTGCCTCTTGCAAGTACATGCAGGCTCATTCGTACGTGTGCACATATAAACATAGATTTGAGTGCATCCTGGCATGTGTCCGTAGATTCATAAGCACATACATATTTGAACCTTCCTACCTCTGGGGCCATGCAAGTGCCTGGGTGTGTTCTCAGAGGGGCAAGCTTACAGACTCATGCGTGCAAGCACATGTATCCAGAGGTCGGCCAACACACCCTGAGCCCACACCTGCCCTCCACCATGCCCTCGGTCTGTGGAATTAACAGGGTGTGGTGTCTTTTCTCATATGGGCACAAGAGCTCAAACAGATGCCACTGAGGCTGAGCCCTCAGCTCTTGCACTCACCCCAGTCCAGGTCCACGTCAGCTCCAAGCCCCAGCCGTGACGTCTCCCCCAGTGGGAGACGCTGGCCCTTCGTCACGATGGTGTTCCCGGTACAGGGACTAGCACAGGAGACTGTGCAGTAAATGTTTGTAAATGAATGAATGAATGAAAAGGTCTTTGCTTTTCTGTCCTGCTGCATAGAGCACCTTCTGCCTCCAGCCACTAAGAAATCACAGACCAACTGCCAAGGCCAGATCTCCCTCCCCAGGTCCCACGGTGGCTGTTTCTGATGGGCTGATGCCTGCTGAGTAGCAGGCAGCTTTGGTGGTAGGGGGTTGGGGTGTGTGTGCAGGTGCTCGACACCTCAGTTGGGGAAAGGAGGACCAGAGGGAACCTAGGACCATCAGGTGGCAGAGAACAAGGCAATGACTGTGTTTGATAAATGGGGTGGTGAGGCCAGAGGGCCAGGGACTTGCCACAAAGCCTGTGGTCCTCAGGGCTTTGCCTAGAAACCTGGCCCCAGAGTCCTTGCCCAGGGCTTTGTCCAAGGTAGTAGCTGCATCTGAGAGGGGCCAGCACCACAGGGAAATTTCATCCTGACCCCAGGAACCTGAGGCCAAGAACAGATGTCAGGGTGGGTCTGGTGTTACCTTGGACCTCTCTCCACCTCTGGGCTGTCAGCTTCTACTTCTGCAAAGTAGGTGGGCTTTTGAATTCCTGTCATTCCTTGTCCTTTCAGAGCTATTGTGATAACGTGAAGGGAAAAGGTTTTGAAACAAGAAAAGCCATATCATTAGGGTCTGGCCACCTAGCATCTATGTGACTCTAGATGAGGCATTGCCCTTTTCTGGGACTAATTAGTTCCCATGTCGTTTTGCTCTGTTCCATGTTCCTTCATCTCCCAATACCTCAAATTCATGGTAGATAGTAAAAGGAGTGAGTCTCCACTTGCTGTCTCCGTATATGCCTCTACCCTGCCTTCTCCCCACCCTCCTCTTTGTGCAGGTGTTCCTTTTCTCTGTCCAGGTTCCCCCAGAACCAAGTCTGTGAGCCATTTGGGGGTCTCTGTTCTCTGGAGGAACAGCCCTCTCCGTCTTGAGGTTGTCAGTGTTCAGTATGCAGTAGGTGTTCAATAAATGTATGTCCAGTTGTGTCTGAGGCTGTGTGTTTATTCTCTGATGCATCGAGTGGATTGCTCACTGTTTGCCCCATAAGAGGTGCTCTCTCCCCTTGATTCTATTTCTCCAGTCCAGCCTACTGTCCCTCAGGGCTCAGCTTGAGTTCTTTCCCCTCCAGGAAGCCTTCGTGGCTTCCTTCTCTCTCCTTTGAACTTCACTGAGTGATCAGAGGGCTAGAGCTCTCCTGAGCCCCCTGACTGTCAGCAATTGGGGCTCAGAACTGTCTGATTTCTTGTGTTGTCAGCACACAGCTCAGAGTTTCAGCACGGAGAAGGCACCAGGGAACATTTACTAAATGAAATAATGATTTAAAAATCTCTGGCTCAATCCACCCTTGTGAAGCAAGCTAGGTGAAGATCCTCCATCTACATTTTACACCAGGAGACAGGCTCCCAGAAAGGTCAGGTGCTTTCCTCAAGGTTGCACAGCTAACTGGGACCTGCCTGACAGGAGCTCAGGTTTCCTGCTCATCTCCTTTGCCGCAGCCCTCCCCATCCTAGGTTCTCTCTCTAGGGAGTGTGACTGGGTCAGATCTCAGGGGAGCCTGTGGGCAGAGCACAGGCACTCAGGGTTTCCTTAGGACTCAGCAAATGAATCACCCCAGCCCCACCCAGGCAGAATGATCCTGTCTGCCCTGTGCCAGGTTGAGAATCCCCCGTGTCAGCCACGCTGGACCTCAGTTCTTGAGTTTATTACCCCACTAGGTCCCAGAGCCCCTCTCAGCCTTTCAAGGAGCTGTTCCCTCCCCTAAACCCCAGCTCCTATACGCTTTTCTCCCTGAAAAGGCCCTACCCTCTATAAGCTCCACTAAGCCTTGGCAGGGAGCCTGGGGAGGTTTTCAACTTCCCTGAGGTCACCCAGCAGGTAGCCCTTCCCCATCTGCCTCCAGCTCCATTCTGTCCATTAGGGGCGACTCAATGTTACTGGAGCCTGTAGACAAGTCTGCCTTTCCAGCTCTGTTTCCCTCTCTTCAAAGGTGTGTGTGTGCACGGACGGGCTGATCTCGGAGGGCTTTTGAATCCTGTGCCCCTTGGTCTTTTAGGGATGAGGGTCTTGGAGGGGAAGGTAATGCTGTGACTTGCCCAAGTTGGTCCCCCCACCTTTTTAACATGTGACCTTGAACTTGCCCCCCCCCATTATAAAGCAGTGGTAGGATAGTCTGGGGTCCTCCTAAGTCTGATGCTGTAGCAGCCTGCAATCCAGGCTCCCTTTATGCTGGCGGCCCTCATACTGGCCTCCCTTTCCCTCTGCCCCCCCTTTCTCTGAGACAAGTGGAGAAGCAGCCGGCAGGCCTGACATGATGAAGCTCAGTCATTAGGTAGCGGGGGAGGCCCCAGGTTCTCTTGCGTAGCGTCTGCGCTGGTGAGGAGGGGAAAACTCCACTGCAGGCTTTGCTGTTCCCATTTCTCATTCCCCCCTCCCCCCACTGCCATGAGACACAGGAAAATCCATAGACCCAAGATTCATTTTCTCCATTGAGTCAGCAGAGGCCACACTCTGCTTCTGAGGGGCGGGCAACCAGCTTTTAAATAACTCTCCGATATTTAATACCCTCCTCCTCCACTCTGTGGCCTGGGCCTCTGGGGAAAGGCTAGAATAAATGAGTTGGATGAATCCTCTCAAAGTCATAAGTGCTCCTGCCTGTGCCTCAACCCATCCTCCTCCACCCAGACTTCCAGGCCATGGGGAAAAATACCGATTTCTTACTACCTTTAGACTGTGCTTTACAGTTTCTAAGTGGTGCCCCAGG